TGCATGTATCACTACCTAGAAAAAATTTAACCGATAATTGAAAGAAAATCGTTAATGGAACAAAAAGAGGTCCTTGAGACATTAAACTTGGTGCTTGAGGAGTTTGCAATAGACTTTCCTGTTTATAAATGTAAATCATCTTGCATAATTGTCGTACTCCGTAATCGTTGGCTTTATATTTAGAACAATATTATAAACATTTAAATTTATAATAAACTATGCGGAATGTGATTAATATGAAATAGACTAAAAAATTCCAATGTTAAAATAAATTTTCGCGTGTATTATGATTTCGGCTTCACTTCAAAAGTTGATTTATGATTTGCATAGCGCGAATTCGAGTATAACGTCAATATGACATCATTGTATTTCCTATTTTTAAATTATACTGCAGGTATAATAAAAAATACTATAAGATACACGTGTATAATTGGTCTTTAAAGCACTTGCAACGTTAAAGGCACTCCGCTTTGCGTCGTGCCTTAAACTCGTTGCGCGTGCTTTAAAGACTTGATTATACACTTGTATCTTAATATACCATTGCGCGATCGGTCATTTCTGACTATTTACCATGGGTGTTTCCATGACAGTACGTAGAATTTACCAGTTGCTATGATTACTTACCGATCTAAAAACAGAACAGCAATAGTTATTTACCTAACAAGTTCGGTAAGTTAATTTTCCCGCATGAGCACTTTGTTTGCAGCACGACCGTAGGGAGTGCTGCATTTAGTGCGAATGCGGGAAAATTCTTTCCGAAAGAGTTAGGTACAATATTTTTTTTAACGAATTGCGTAAAAAAAGGTCAAAATTAATAAAGTTTTGTAAATTAGCTTTTTTTTAATCATGAGTTGGTAACACAATCATATGTTTGGTTGGTAACATAATTAAACTACCCACTTTTAATAATGCACTGGTCACATTTAAAACTTCCACATCTTTGGTTAATACATATTTTGCCTTTGCAATGAGTGCTACTGGTCACGGCATTGCATCGTTTGCACTGAATATCTTGAGTTGCGTAAATACACTCGTTACATTTAAAATCCTTGGAAGCGTTGTGTGTGTTAATATGTGCTTTCTTAAACTGCATATGCGAATAGTTGCAGAATATCACTGGTCACATTTTAAGACGTTTTAACAATAAATTTTACTTTTTCTTGAGTTTCAATTCTGAAAAATAATTTGATTGCGTTATAAGTTCTTGTTTATATATTTACGTAAAACTTAGTGTACGTCTGTTTCCGATTAATCGCACTAAATAACCTCAACCAACGGTTTAATTGATTTTACAGCAGATGACAGTTAACCATTGACATGACGTTCGTTGACTTCAATAAGTACTACCAACCGAAGAACGCGCATAACGCCTTCTCTCCAGCGGAAACTAAAAAACACCGCGATGCGGGAAAGTCGTTTTCCCGTGCATCGAGGATGCTTGGAAACATTATCTTTCCATTCAATGAGTACAAAAAAATACTTACCGACGCCTTTTTAAAAATCAACAGTCTTACATTACATTTAATCTTTAATTATTATTAGGTACATTAAACGTAAAATTTGTGCTGTTGTCTCCTATAGCAAGACGCCCATAAAGTCATAAAGGAAGTGCAAAGCTAGTAAACTACATCAGACACATGCACATTTTTATGAAATTATTAATTTCAATTGTGACATTTAAACTGGTTGCCTAGTGATGTACACCATACCACTTCGATCATTTCGATTTATTCTGCTCGTTAATTTCTTAGTGCATAGTTATATTGGTTGGATAATTTTAATTTCGATCGCGCAAAAAATGTTATACGCACGTCGAACGTTAAGGGTTACCGTTCTCAGACAATAATTGGAGTCGTCGCTTCGCTCCTCTTCCAAACAATTGTCTTCGAACGGTAAAAATCCCTTACCGTTCTCCATACTTAATATACTATTAACAGGTATAACAAACGACGAAAATTTAATCAGTTCTTCCTTGGTGATGATGATGATAAACATAATATTGAGGGCAGGATTGAAAAATTCGAAACCGTTCGAGAGTTATTACGTACACTAGCGGACGGAGTTATCATGTACACAGATGAACGAACAGAAGGTCCAAATGACCAAAATTTAATCAGTTAGTCCCTTGGTCATAGAATAGAATAGAGAAGAATAGAATATATTATTTGCCATGAATCACAAATGAATTACAATAGCATACTATTTAATTATGTTGCATTGACATGTACCTCAGAGCCATATGGCTGTGTAAATGAACATCGGGCCAGCTCTACAAACTCATACCCAACTAGACAAAAAATGGGATCACACACAAGAATAGAGGGAATCTGAATGCTATTTCTGTGGAAAGGAGTGTCATCCCCGAGAAAGATGTCCAGCTAGGAACGCAACATGTTTAACATACAGTAAAGTAGGTCACAGGAGACAGGTTCGCACAGCGAGAAGGAAACTAGAAAGGAAGATCATTTTTTAGGGTTAATGATAGGACCAACTCAAAATGGTAATGCATCCGCTAATTAAATTCTTCTTAAAAATTAAAACCTCCAAAAGGATCTTAATAAATTATCCTTTTTATCAAGCTATAAAATTAAACTTAAAAATTTTGACAAGTTCTAAAACGTATTTGAAATACCTTCATAAAAATTAAAACCTCAACATTTTATTTGAAACAGTAAGATTTTACTTAATCTTTTACAAGCACTGGAACACAATAATGCTTAGTGATCGTTCCAAAACTAAAAGATAATAACGCAGAAAAGAATTTTGAAAAGAATACAAATATACTATCTAATTTTAAGATCTTGGTATTTGTTTTATTTTGTGTTTTGATGTTTTCATAGGTTTCCTCATATTTAGGGTGGATGTTTCCATTTAGAAATTTTTTCGCACAATAGCGAAATTCCGGATTTTGAATCGAATTAATTGATCAAAATCAAAAGTCTGAGTTCACTGAAATAATTAAAATTAATTGAATTGAATCTCCGAAACCGCCACCATATTCGATCAATTGGAGCACGAGTCCGCGAATTATTTCCGCACGAACCCAGGACAAGAACCGGTTTTTTTATTTATTTCTCTACGAGTATTTATTAATTTATTGTCCCTCTATTCTTCTGGACCCTCAACAGACTTGTGTCCAATTACAGAGTGATCCGTGTAATGCTTTTTAGAGGTGCCCCTGCAGTAGGTCTTAAGTTGTTCTATACTACCCTGGTATTTACCTTACGAATTGGGAAAACTGCAGGAAAACCTAATAAGGAGCAGCGGGGTATGCTCAAAATTAATGTAAGGAAATTCCCATCTCCACCACAGATGAAAAATTCTTACCTCAGCCCAGGTTCGAACACCCGACCTTCCGGCTATGTAGCCCAATGCTCGCGTATAAAATGTGGGCAATGAAACTTCATAAAATGACGTTTCACAGTTTAACCCTAAAATATAAAAACGGTTTGTACTATGTGATATTTCCCAAGTTTTAATCCTTCCATAAAAAATATAGCTGAAAACATTTTATGATGAGGTTTTGGAGTGCTTGTACAGATTTACCGTCGCTACATTTCTAAAATATTTTTGATCATCAGGGGCGTGCTGTATTCCAGTGACGTACCAAACTTGCATTTTTAAATGGACCGCTTCATATTTTATTATTGATTTGGAGAGTACTTGAAAAGTACTTATTTGTTATGTTATTATTATATATTATACCCTTTTAAGATTTCGCTGTTATAACCTTTTTTTGTCAACATTTAACAGTTTTTCGAAATTTTTTTGGAGAGAAACTAAATAGCACAGGCGGCTAATTTATGAAGTGGGGCACAGGTTAAGACCTCTTCCACTGTCACGTAATTTTTTTAGGTACTTTATCAAAAAAATAAAATTTTTGATGGACCTTCGGTCCTTCGCCAAATGTCATATTTTTTAAAAAATTTCAAATGACACCCCCCTAAACAAATTACACCTCTGGGTAGCCAAAACTATAAATTTTCCACTAATATAAACAAAACCGTACATTCCATAAGAAAATTTCAGAGAAAAACCAAGTCGAAACGACAATTTGTAAAAAAAAACTTATTTTCCGAGCCCAAGTGTACCATAATGAAACAAAAGATGTTCAATTCTCACAATTAACAGTAGATACAGTGTGGGCAGTGTATGATTGTTTTTTAATCAGCGTTTCGAAAATGTTCCAAATTCAAACAGAACTGGTTAATGCGTTAAGTTGGCCCTTCATATTAAAAAAATTGATTTTTTATGACTTAATTATCAGAACTTCTAGGATTTATCAATAACTCAGAATTTTAATTACAATTAATTCATCCTTGAACTAACAAATATCATAAACGCTTTTCTTTAATTTACAAGATTTACAGACTTTTCCTGGCGATGATAAATGTATAAGTACCTACTGAAAACCCACATAAACAACTTAGGACAGTTTATGTGCATTTGAACACCAATAATGCTTTTACATCTCCTTCTTGAAAAGTGGTACACGAATCAATTTACCAGTGTTGCTCATTATCTCCGATTCCTTAGTCTTGTACGTAAATCTAAGGATTGCGATATAGGTTTAGGCATTAGCGCATGTTCATTTAATTTGAGAAGGTGAAATTCTCGCTAGTCATGTTGTTAATGTAAATTAACAAAATTGTTTGTACGAACGTGCATGAAATTTCAATAAATCCAACCGAATAAATTACATCCACTAACGTGTAATTAAATTTTTTTGTTAAAACAAAACTTTTGGTAATCTAGGTACCGCGCAAACATTATGTAACACAAAACACACTCGAGCTTCCAATTTGTCCATGACCAAAAGCCTTTATATCAACTGATGAAATATTCTTTATTGGCGCCTCAACTTTTATTATAAGAAGAAATGAGAAATGATAAATTACAAAATTGCTCATAATGCCGTAAATTATAGCGAGCTACAATAATTTGTAGTCGTTATTGCCCGACATAAAAAATAACATAAAGATGATATAATAGACACTTACCTTACATTGTCCTTCAACGCAGACGCCGCGAGTTCCTGGCGGTGCGGCTTTTCCCGTCGACGTCAAGGGATGAAAACACGAAGTTCCATCAATCACAGTCTTATTAAAGGTTGCGTAAAAATTCATTCCTGTAGGACGGCAGTTTAAAGAGCATTCTTCTCCCCCTTCAACAAACAAAAGGGACAATAAACGATTTCATTTGTAATAAAAAAAAAGTTTCTTTTAAATGCTTTTTATTTCCCATCGGAAAGTTTGGAAATTGGACCGTATCCTTCCCCTAAAGCGCCGCTTTCAGGAAAGCAATATTGAAACCGCGGCCGTAAAAGAAGTTCGCTAGAAAGATTCTAGCCTAGAGTTGTATGTAATTTCTGTTCAGAAACGTTATTAAAGTTGCATAACAACCAGATTTAAATAGAAGCTATCGCCGACGTACAATCTAAACTTCATACTATAAAGTTGAAAATCTCCCCCTCTCCAAGAAAAGTGTTCATAAAACAATGACCATGTATACAAACTATTTATAAACTCGCAAATAAAACAGTTTGGGTTGTCTCATAATGTGTATCAATCAAACTCATGCATGAAAATAGGAACCTACTTAGTGTGCTACAAGTACCTTCGCCAATAGTTAGGAGAGTTTATTGAGTTTTGACTTTTAGGCTTACACGTTGGCTTTGGCAAATTAATTTGCTTTAATCCATTTTCTCCACGTAATTGTCCAATGAATTGATTCTGCAGTTAGGAAGCCCTCAATTTTCCAACCCAAAGATTGGTTTAAAGAAAATCCTTTATTTGTTGTTTTGTACGATTCCCACAAGATTTCGAGAAACCCTCACGACAATGATTCTAAGGAGGTTCCCTAGAAGGTTGACCTACATCATTCCTATACTTAACCCACTACTATCGGAGTAAAATGTTTAATCCTTTCTCTCAAAATGAGGGGAGGGGGGACTTTAATGACATTTATGGTACTTATGAACTGAACTTGTCATATTGCACAACAGACAACATCCTTTACATTTATAAATTAACGAATATTCTGCTCCCGATAAAAATACAAAATGCCATGCGGTTTTAATAAGTGAAGTGCGGCAAACGTAATTATCACCATCAAATGTGAGCATATCCTCGAGAGTAAATTTTCGGTGGCTCGATTTTACTGGGTAACATACTTGCGGGCGATCTTTCAGGTGACCAGGCGCATATTCCGAGGCCGAATTTACTTTGGTGCAATTTTCCTTGGGAGTGAATACTCCTACAATCATATGAACCAATATTCTACGTAGTTATGATAACCTTTAGTTCAGATTATCGTGTTTAATAACTGTAGTATTATGGTTGTTTCTTTCTTTTTTAGACCAAAGGAAATGGATTTCATACCACGCCACAGTGTTGCAGGTTCTAAAAACCGTCATGACGTAGCACGAGGGACGCACTTTCTGCTATACCTTCGCATGTATAAACAACATAACCGTAGTTTGGTTATCGTTGGGTCCGTTTCGGTTTTTAACTCGGCGAGTGCGAAGTAAAAATTATGTGGGAGAGAGGGATTCTTCGCCAAAGTTTCGAAGCGAAATCTTGTACGTTGAATGCGGCATTTTTAGATCGCGTAAAATTTCATTTTCAATTAAAGATTAGAGATGAAGCCGCATAATAGAACGTGATGTCTTATTGCGAAAGTTAAAATTTAAGAGAAAACTGTGCCGCCATTTAGACGAAATTATTTTAGTGGGTGCTTTATCACAAGCCATCACATGCAAAACTGATAGCCTGCGCGAACATTTTCGTTTTGGTACATTATTGGATTAGCGTGTTCGCATTTAAATAAAGTATTACAAGTCTGGGCTCTCCTGGTATAAATAAGCCTAATTAGTATAGGACTATAGGTAATAAATAGCATTTAAGAAACTAGAATGTATGTAATTAACAAAGGACCTATTCGTAACTCTCGATATTAAAGGATAGGATATGACCGCCTCGTCTAGGCATTTTACATTTTTCGTTAAGGTTAGTGTAATTAGAATTACTGTCTAGGGATTATTAAATCTCTTTGTTTTAACTAAATGATGAGTATTTATGAGTGATCAAATCAGAGCATTACGTTTTAATTTACAGATTAAAAGTGGAAATAAATAACCAATTTTCCGCCGCAAGGTAAGCGCCATTAAAAGTTTACTTATTACTGAGCTATCCGTGGTATTTATTATTTTATTACTAAAAAATTAATTTTAGTAAAACTTTGACCAGTGCCGTAGAGACTAAATTTATTTTATGCAAGTTTCAACCCCTGTAAATGTAACTCAACTACAAAACGACCCAAAGGCAAGTATGAGCGACTCGGACTATCATGGATCGCTCCCCCCGCCCCCTCACTGCTCTGATTAAATTCAAGATTTGTATCAAAATTACGAGCCATTTTGCAGCTGGTGACTAAATCGGACCCCCCCCCCCCCCCTCATTCGATTTGTCTGTTTCGATTGATAGTCCAGGCTATATAGTTTTGCCATAATTTGGAAACACCACTTTCCACCCCTTTCAACCCCCAGAATTTCATCCGCGGAAAAATTCAACTGTTTTCATTATTTTTTCCCAATTTCTATTCATTTCACCTTCCTGAAAAACTCGGTCTCGCCCGGTAACTAATTTTTTTTATATAATAAATTATTTTAGAGCTATTTAGCCTGGACTATGACATCTTTTGCCTGAACTCCGAGCTAATTAAGCGCTTTTGCAAATAGAACCTGATAACGGTGAGGGTAACGGTTATTTCGAGTCTTTTGCATATGATTGTTGCACAGTTTTTGAAGAATTCTTTCCCATTCTCTGCAAATAATTTCTGTAACGATATAAATGCAATGGGGTTGACTTTATCTTCAAGTCTTAGTGCAGTTATAGGGTTGACCGAGAGAGAAATCGCAGTACATATTCACTGTACACAGTTGTAGATGTCCACGAGATACCCAAAGATATCCGTGTATCATGGATGTTCCCAGACATATATCCGATGAATGTAGGCAGACGTTCGAGAATGACTTCGAGTAACTTTGGTGTCATGGTAGGCGGTAGCTATGAAAATATCGAAACCAAACTTAATTGATTAGTTTTTGAAAATAAAAAATAATGCCTTTCGTCTACATTCGACTTGCGCATGTTCGGCCACGTTTTGGAAGGACCAGAATAAGTTTTTGGCTTGTAATATGCGACCTTTTTTAAAATAGTTTTTGTTAAAATCATAAATTTCGTGAATTTCTGACTTGTGGGCCGACCAATTGTACCAAGTTTTTTTTTTAATTTTCAAGTTTCGAAATTAGATTTTTTCGCAGTCCCATTCAAGGGTGCCCATTTTTAAGTAGTAAAATTAACGGGAGCCCTTGACAAACGTGTGAGATAAAAGCAGGGTCAACTCTGCCTACTGTTATACATATATCTTTTCTTTTGCTCAATTTTGGTCTATCCCCTATTTTGACTAAGCTGCCGAGCATTGGCATTTTTAGCACCCTTTCTGACTGTAGGAAGGAATTTATCGACAGATGCGATTTCTATTGTAAATTTAAAGGATGGACGGTGTTAAACGATATTAAATCACTCATTCAGAGTGATTATGTTGTCTCGAAAGATAACATTTATAACAAGGGTGTCACCAACATTTATTTAAAAAATTTAATAAATTTTATGTTATAATTGGATACCTGGGATTCTAACTTGAAAATGTCGGAAAGACGTTTTGGAAAATTTTATCACCGAATTCGAATTATTGACGAAAATTTGAAAAATTGAACACCCAAAGCACAGGGTACCTACCCCTACACATTATTAAAATAATTAGACCTACATTCTGTCCTACTGGACTACTTTTGGGCGATTTGCAAGAAATAATTTAATAAATGGTCTGACTCGATGCATAATTTGTATCACCATGTTCGTTGTACAAATGTTAACACGGAAGGAGGTGCAGTCGAACTAAAAAGCTTTATTGTCATTCTCTTCAAGAGGTTATTCAGAATGTAAATATTGAGAGAACAGGTGTTTATATGAATTTTAAATTAAATGCCTAGTACTACTGTACGAATGTAGGTATGTAATTTTATGAGAACGAACATATTAGGTGACAGGTGAATGTTAATTTTATTCCTCCTTAATAACGATTGTCATTTAAAATGCTTTAGGTATTCTGTCCACCTTTTTCGGCCGATTTTTCTTGTATGCGTTAAATTCCAATTCATAAGATAAGTTTAACTGAAACAAATTGGCTGTTGGTGTGGGGTCATTCGAATTATTTACGTTATTTCTCCCCAAACGCTTATAAAGCTCCTGTAATAAACGTGTTCTACTGAACAACAGACGTTGAAGTAATTCAGATCTAAAAGGTATCTTATCTGATCTACACCAAAGTAAAATTACCTTAAACTAATTGCCTACCTACCATTCTTGTGATTAAGCACATGACATATAATTACCTTGAAGGTATGGCTCCCAGTAATAAAATCTTCCCTTGAATGGATATCTATTAAAAAAGGCGCACTGCTCTAACCTAAAATCTTGATTTCTATGGCATTTCTGAAAAGAAGAAAACAGTGTTAGATTAAATGCTCATGCATTGGGTGGTCTCCAAATGACTAAATTTCGCAAGCTCAAATATTTTACTCTCAGTAAGGCAATAATTTAAAACTTTCGTTCCATTACCTGCGTGTTACATAGATGAAATCTTCTGTAAACGCCAATGCAGTGATTACCCAATTTTCTCTTCGAGCGATGATGTCGCTTTTGATTATCCTGGTTAGAGCTGTAAAGAATACACACATTACAAAGAAGAATAAATAAATTAGTGCCACGCTACGCTACGGGCCAATTTAGATGTCATGGCGGCTATAGTCCTACAGCAAATAATTATGCGTAAACGCGATATAATAACACGCTGTGCTTGATTTATAATCGTCGCTAGCACCACTCATCTATTTCTCGCCTTTTCGTTCGATAAAGTGGAAAGGCGCGTTATGAATAATTTTTAATCGCGGGCAAAATTATTTATTGTTACCTACGTAGCGGGCGGGTCATTAATTAATTTTGAATTTCGTCTGTCTAAATTGAAAATTACACGTTTGTAGATTTATAGTTCGATGTTTAGAAATAGTGATTTTGACGCTCGGTAGTTTTAATTGAACGTCGGACATGGCAAGCAATTAGAATAGTCTTTGATATAATCTTGAAGGTAGATAAATACAATGGTAAATTAGACGCAGGTATGACTCCCATTTCTAATTGAGTAAATGATTTATTTAAATACAGTGAGGATTTACCCCCCATTGTTGCAGGCAAGATTTATGAATGCACAGGCGGTTAATTGAAGATTTAAGAAATCGTGCACCGATGAAGATTAAGTACGAGTAGGTACATTGCTTGCTGGTGCCCTTCACGAGGTATTTAAATTTTTTGGTCCGAGATACATACCTTTGGAAAGAGAAGTTGCCATCCCTTATAACATGACGTTATATTTTACGCTGCTCTTTTTTTACACCACGTACACAATCGATTTTCGATTATTGAACAAATCAAACAATTATTACGATAATTACAGCTTTGCGGTCGGAAACGGAATTACTGAAGTAAAACAGCTATTTAATCTCTATTTTTGGGGGCAGAAGATGTTAATTTGTTCCCAAGAAACAATATCCATTGGGATGAAAATACAGTTAATTTAAGTATATTATTTATTAACCGTTTAAATTCACATTTTCGCAATCATCAAAATCGATTATCGATTACCATTACCAAAAGAACTACTTTCTGATGAGCTTCATGATGCAACATCATTGCTTGGCTAATAGTATATTAAGATACAAGTGTATAATCAAGTCTTTAAAGCACGCGCAACGGGTTTAAGGGCACGACGCAAAGCGGAGTGCCTTTAACGTTGCAAGTGCTTTAAAGACCAATTATACACGTGTATCTTATAGTATTTTTTATTATACCTGCAGTATAATTTAAAAATAGGAAATACAGTGAAATCGTATTGACGTTATACTCGAATACATGTCTAATTAAGTGGGCTTGGTTTTCGTCATTTCACGATTGCCATGGAAATGTCACTTGACGTTTGCTTATAAAAACCATCGTCTTTGTGAATAAAACGATTTGCGTTGAAAAAGATAGTACACCGTCCATTAAATCGCTTGATTTAAAATCTAAACAAACGTTTGGTATGGTGTAAAATCCCAATCCAGTAAAGCCTATTATCAAGCATATGAAAAGTCGTTTCCATGGATGAATAGGAAGTTACGAATAAAGTCTTAAATGCATCGATAATGCTGGCATATATGAAGGAAATGTCAAAGGTATTTAAATCCTTTTGGTGCATTCATTCAAAACTTCACTTATTGCTGCGATTAAAAAGTGGAACAGATTTGGAAGCATACCCTAAATTGAGCGCGTTTGTGGAAGCTTCAACCAAAGGATACGTACAAACCAACGCAATGATCTGCATTTACAGAAAGCGACCTAAGAGGATTTTTTATTTCAACCCCAGATGACAGTTTCAAAAGTCATACTTGAAGTATCATTACCTAGCAACTTTAAAGCACGTGTGTTTTAAAGGCCTTTTTTCGCACGCATTTGAGTGTTTTAAACGTAGATTGTGATTCAGGTATAATAAAAAAGGGATTTTATTGCATTTTATTGTTTACTGTATTTTTCAGGGCGTCTATATCAGCTTCTGCATGTGCATAACTTGTGTTACTGTTTCCTAGTTATTTCATAACCAGAATGGTTTCGCCGGGCAAATCCCAGGTCGCGACTTTGCACCCTAACAACACGATCATTCCATAGTTACGTAACTGGGAAATCCTCTTCACCGCGGCCACAACCAAAACCGGGGGAATGCCATCACCACGACCTGGGCCACTTCTCCACTTCTACTCTTGGATAGGTATGAAAAATGTGCGGACGGCAGCTACGGAAAATTCTTGGGTGACATGATGGACGAGATTGACAGTTATTTTCCAGGAAGCCAGATAATGGAATTTGTTAGTGGAGGCCCAAAAAATTATGCCCACACGCTGTTTTCGCGAGAGAATGGTTACGTGATAGTATGTAGGTGAAGGGGAGTTCCTTAATTATAACTTATAAGAATAGTTAGACTTATAAACTTTGAGTCTATTAAAAACACCGTCCTCAACAACGCTCTCGAAACTTTTGTAGAGAGTGATCGCCTAATCGCCCGTACCTGTACATATGATGTAGTTTCTAGACCCGACAATAAGTATCGCGCCCATTCCAGTAAGAGACGGCGTCTTGATTATGGATACGATACCATTCCTTACGGTTACGTCCCGTAATTGTAGATATTTAGATTTAAGTCGTAAATATTCAGTGGAGTAGGCTTACAGGGGATACCACATTAAAAAAAGCGCTCCATTATCTCTACCTCCTGGGTGGTGTGGAAATGGGTTTGTATCATAATCCGCGCCGCCCGCAATTTTATTTTTCTGCCATTTTGTTTTTTAATTTGTGCAAGTTTAATTAATCAACCACCTAATCTTGAGTAGTGATAAAACACGTGTAATGCAAATCTACCCTAAAAAAGTGCAATATATTGCAAGTACTCTGATTAGAGTACAACAAAGATCCATTAGGCAAGAAACATTGTACAAACTACTAGGCTGTAACATTGATTGTTCTCTAAGCTGGAGAGAGCACGTTGATATGGTGTGCAATAAAATAACGTCTAATTGCTTTGCTCTTAAACGTCTGTCATATATTTCAAATGTTAATGTAGCTAAAAATTTTTACCACTCCAATGTTGAGTCTATCATGCGCTACTGTGTCATTTTCTGGGGTGACAGTATACATAGCAAACGAGTCTTTGTGATGCAGAAAAGAGCAATCAGATACATGTTTAATTTAAGTAGGGACACATAATGCCGTAGTACTTTTATATCTAACGCTTTGTTAACTTTTCCGTGTATCTATATATTTGAACTGTTGAAATTTGTTAAATGCAATATTAACCAATTTCCCTCTTTAAATACATACCATAACTATAATACTAGACGAGGTATCGAATTGTCGTATACGAAACATCGAATAGAACTATTTAAAATGAATCCCTATTATGCTGGTGTGGTTTTATATAACAAATTACCGCTGAATCTTAGAAATTTTCCGTTCAGGCGTTTTAGTTTAACACTCAAAAAATTTTTAACTGTAAATTGTTTCTATAGTGTTAATGAATTTATGTCTTATGTTAATATTGATTTAGAACCTTAAATTTTGTTGTAGTTGTATGTATAATCATATTGTTTGGCCTTTGACTTGTCCTATATCCGTTTAGGATCTTTTGGATAAATATATTATTATTATTATTATTATAAAAGTTCAATTGCGACAATTAGAGTGTGAACTTACATTAATTATTTTAAATAAGCCGCTCATTAAAGTTACACGGTTCAAAAAGAAACCCGCTCCAAAAGATTCCAACACGAAACCTCTATCTCGTATTATTTGCCCCAATTCAAAAATTGATATTTGGGAAACTTAACTTCAAGGAACACTTGCTCTGGAAGTAACTATTATGGGTACTCTTTGGCAGAAGCAACAGGTTAGAATTGTAAAATTTTATTTACCTACAGTGGGCCAAATTATGAAAAGAAAATCTTAGATTCGCACAGTAAAGATGGACAATGGTTTATTTACTTATATTTCTATCTTCTTTTTTTTAATAACATTGAGGCCACTGAAATTGAAGTAATAGAAACCAATAATATTAAAATCCACAATATTGCGAAGGGCACAACTACAGACAATAGTAAAATAAAAAGTATAAAAGAAGCTTATAGCGAAAAGAAACAGATGATAAATGGATACGATTGTATATAAAAAATTAACCACTTTCTCAATCTTTGATCTTGAAGTACAGCCTTCGGTCCCGTAACTTATTGTTTTAGTGACGGGTTTGATAGACATCGCCCGTCAATTCCCGATAAAGCGCTATACGAACTACTTGACCCTCGGAGTGATATCTGCATGACGGATCGGCATGGCATTTTGCAACGGCGAATGAAGCCGCAAAGGAGACAAGCTGCTGACGGTAATGCTAATTGGTCATACACAGAGTGCTTCAAGCTATAGGTACTCATTAACCAACAAACTACGTGCATTACTAGCTTGCTTTTAGATGCACATTAAATCATTATTTGTTTTTCAGCAATCGTAGATAAGCGAGCTGTCATTATCTTTAAAAGCGAGCTAGAGGCGGCTGTAATTATAGAAAGCGGTTACTGTATTCATTGTACGGATACTACTTATTATTTTCAATTTATGTAAGCCACCCAAAGGGAAAATGAGAGCAAAAAATGTCAATCTAGTCGGAAAGGAGAAACCCATATTTGACTAAGATTTATCGGGTCTTAAAATGCCATTAATACTAACACATACAGTAATAATTACAAGGAAAAAATATGACTACGCGGTGGGCAGAACGTCTAAATTTGTAACATCCGTGATTGTTTTTTTTGTAAAATTTAGATTCGTGAGGAACGTCTTTTATTACACCCAGCGAACTAAAAGCTCATTAAAAACGTACGACTGCTGAAGCGATTTGGGTAGATGGCACTGAATCTATTGGGAGACAAATTCTTCTTGTCTGTGTTTGGTGTTCAATGGAATTATTCGTAATAGATCGTAGATAGATATCGCATATTTACCATAAATAAACTTGCGAAAAGTTCATGGGTGCAAAACTCATAAAATTCCATGTAATTCCAATGCTCACCACTGAACGGTTAAAAA